CCCACTGCAAGGATAACCCTAAGCATAACTTCCAGCAGGACTCCTCACAATTAGAGAAATAAATTGTGTGTGCCTTTATTGAACCAGAGTGCAAGGACTGCACACATCCCACTACTGAACTGCAGACACTTCCCAGACAGAGTGACAGCCATCTCCACTTGAACACGGCTTGGTGCAGCAATGAGTTAAACTTGCAATAGTATCAAATCTCCTGTGCAGCTGATGATCAGCTTTCCCTCTTCACTGCTGCTCCTTCAGACTTCCTGTTGTAGGTAAGCAAGCTAACTTTCCAACTGATACCAAAGTAATACAGGACAGGACTCAGCTCTGGGATCTGCTGAATTTCTAGCAGTATTGCTGTTAAAAGTTTCACAAATGAAAACTTTGGAAGCAATTGTATTCTCTAGGAAAACTTCATAGAAACAACAGGGCCATGACTGACTTTAAAATAGTACATCTTCCACAGTAAAAATGTGAGGTCATTCCTAAAACTCAGACTCCAGCAAAGTAAGTTAAAATATACAAAAGAAAAAACAACAGAAAAGGAAGTCAGCAGATAGATTCCAAAATTGTCTCTGAGATGCAATCAACCAAATTTTCAATAGATATTTCGCTTTTATAATGGAATGACAGCGCTGAACCACTCCAGCACACAAAATCATCGGACAATAGCTAGAATCACATCAGTCAAGTCATGTTAAGGCACTGAGCAATATCAATGTGAAATTAATAACTACAAGCCAAGTCTGTTCCACATGATAAGGGTGCTTGTATTTTGTGGGGCAGACACAACTTGTAATTCACGATTTCTTGGATCCAAAAGTCTCCACTAAATTTGCACCAGACAGCACCAAAGCCAAGACTTGAATATGACCTGGAGTCTCAACTGGCGAGACTTTGGTTCCTTAAGCTGCTAAATGCTTGCTCTGATCTGTAGTGAATCTCCCAAAGGGCAAAGCTTCTGCCTGAAATCACAATTAGAAGCAGCCATTAGGACAGACATCTAACACCTACGCAGAATTTTAATTATAAATTCTTTCAGATTACAGCCTGACTGAGCTTTAAGGAAAAACACCAACCCCTTCCTTTGGACAGCACTCTTAGTGAAGACCCCAAGGTCTGAATAACAGAGAGAACACAACACTTTTGTTCTTTCTGTGCATCATTTGCACAGAAATCAATCATCTGCTGAAACACAGAGCATACCTGACTTCACCCTGTGGAAATCCTTCTTCCTCCCTGAACTCCTGGCTGGCTCACCAGAGCACAGACACAATAATGGCAAAGGACAGCAGCGTCATGGACTTTAGGTAGGCAGGAGGGAGTTCATGGAGAGACTGGCAAGAGGGATAGGGGTGAGAGGAGAGAGGGAAAAGATCCCACTCCCTTGGTTCTAGATTTCTCTGTAAGAACTCGAGCAGAATTATGTCAGCTTTGCTACTGTGTCTTAAAATTGTTGATTTTCCTGGTTTAAGGAGGTCTTTTGTGGAAGATACATGCAGAGAAAGAAAAGATGAAACAGGTAAGATGTAAAAAAGTAATTTTAAAAATTTAAACACCAGTAACTTTTTTCAATATCTTAGTTTCTTTAAATCTGCTCTTTTACTCTTAAAATGAAATCCTGGCAGTTTTACTCTAGAGAAAACCATCAGAAATTTAAAAGAGGTCACTCTTTCTCTGCTTTATAGGGGTTTTGGAACTAGTTTTCGCATACAAATGTGTATATTTTGTCAGAACTAGCAAGACTTACTAAGGTAGATGTTTCTGAAATGGTCCCCATCATCTTCTGGTTTCATTTAACAGCTCCATGAGTCAAAACAAACACCAGGCTTTCCTCACAAACAAGTTTGAAAAATATGACTGACTTAATTTCTAATATTTATAATCTAGCTGAACTGATATGAAGAATCCTGCATGCCCATTGCTTGCCTTTTTTAAACCAAATGATGCTCAGTGATTCTCATCCAAATGTACTGCTTGGCAGCCTTTATTGGTGTCAAGGATTAAAGCCAATAACCTGAAAGAAGTAAAATGGAAATGCCTTCCCCTGCAATAGGAAAATGCTCTGTGATGCCAGGACAGGCAGGGATAAAGCCTGTCAAACTTAGAGATTGCAGCTGCACTGCTGTGTGTTTCATCCTCCAACAAATCATTTCACCCCCTGCTTTTCTAGCCATCATTTCTTCAGTCATTTGTACCACTAGCTTTGATGACAACAGTTTATTCAACAGATTTTCAGCCTCAGAATTTATGTGTTTCCAGCACAAGGAGCAGTAAAACCTGAGCACGTCCTGCCCAAGGACCTGGAGCATCAGGTCCCCCTCATCTAAAAGCCTATTCCAAAGGAAGAAACCCTCCACGTTTTTCTCTAGCATGCTATCAGCTCTAA